CCCCAAAACCCCAAAACCCCAAAACCCCATATGTTAAATATTGCAGTTTAATGACCGAATGTGAAATTGTATTAATAATCTTAATTTTTCCTTATTAATTCTTCTAGGAGCAAGCATTTTTAAAAAAGTTATAATATTTTAATTTTATCTAATTCCTGTGTCCTTTAACTTTGATAAAAAGGATTCATAATACAATCAAAGATTATTTATAACATGCTGAGAACTAAAACTTTAGTCTTGATCTGTGCTACTTTTGTAGCATTTTCATATGCCAATCAAAATGAACATAATCATTAAAATCATCATAATAGTAATAGTGGTAACAGTGATTCATCTTCCCAAGGATCAATCAAATCTAAGCTTTCTAAAACTAGTAATGATAATACGAATGATAGCTCAAGCAAATCGTCACATTCTCATTCAACTCATCCCTCATAAAGTCACACTTAAAGTGATAGCAATGGAGCTACACATCAACACTCACATCACAATTCTCAAGGATCAGACTCTGGAGATGATGATCTGACAAAAGGATGGCACCTACAGCATCCTGAAAAGAATGTGTAGTATCCAACAAATGCCAAGAAAAGATCGGATAGATATCAGAAAGATACTGATGGTACCGAGCATTTTGAGGTGCATAGTGACGATAAACCATTTGAGTAGGGGTCTAAAACAAAACCCAGAACTGAAATGAGAAACCACAATGACTACACTAGTGGTAAACATCAATTTTCTGCTGACTTTAAGGTGCCTAAGGGAACTAATGGAGCTACAATCATGTAGATATTCGGAGGAGACAGAAGTTACACAAAGAAAAATCCCCACTCCTCATCATTTATGATGCAAGTACATGATGGTGATTTAACTTATTATAACAAAAAGTAACCCATTGAAAAGAACATTGCTGGCAAATGGGAACATGTGAATGTCATTCATGATGCTGACAAGCACAAAATCGATGCTTATCTTAATGGAAAGCCAGTCTTTCATGGCAAGGATAATGGAAACGATAATCATTACTTCAAGTATGGAGTATATGGTCAAGAGGGTATGTCACCAAAAATGGAAGTGTACTACAAGAATGTTAACATTTATGACAAGAAAAACAAACTCTTCTATTATAACTGATTAATATAGACATATTATTAGGATATTGCAATCATATCATTATTTAAAACGATTTAAACTTTCTTTTTCAGTATTGTAACATTTTGATAGAATTATAACAGTGGGGTTTTGGGGTTTTGGGGTTTTGGGG